AAGTATTATAGTCTTTGTTAGTAACTCTAATTTAGTACGGATGTATTCCTGAAGCTCTTTAGTCACTAAGTTATTCAAACGGTTATTTAAGGCTTCTTGCATTCGTATATTTCTTGTTTTTGTCTCCTTGGGGATCTATGATTATGTTTATTACTCCATTGTACAGGTTTTACTCAGGTGTCGTAGCTGGTGCTAGGGAGGCATTGTTTAACAGTGTTCCATCTATATCGATATCACTTGACTGGTACTTACCTTTCTTTTTTGATCAAAAGAGGTCCTGTACTTTCTTAACTGATAGTTTGTTCCATAATCTACTTCAGGAGGAATGATGAAAGTCAAGAAAGTGATTTCAAGGACGCCGTGAGTGTTTCCTTACCATTGATAAATGCAGCCATCAGAGACATAGAAAAGGGAGCATTTCCTAAAAGTTGCTTGTTGCATATTGGAGTTCCGAAATCTCCTCTGACAAACAAGGTCTGTAAAATGATCCTCCATCTCACCTGCACCTCTTTTGAAAACAAAAAATGAATGAAATCCAGCCTTTTCAGATCTCCACACAGGAATCTTAAATTTGTGTAACTTGTGTTAGTTTTAATCAGGACTTCCTCTTATTTCTATTATTAATACAAAGCAGTGAAATTTGTTTTAGAGGGGACCTGTGGTGATTATTTAGGGGTAAACTACTGTATACTCCCCCTGTTTCAAAGAGGATGGCCTAGTTAGACTTAGAACGGAGTTTAAGAAAAGAAAGAAGACTTTTAAATCTTGTGGTTCTAAATTAAAGTTAAGTCAAATGTACCAAAATGCCCTTTAATCTGGTGGTCTTAAACATGCCACGTGGAAAGTTAAAGTTAAAGTGTTATCAAAAAAGGAAATGGGTCATTCTTTTTTAAACAAACTAAAAAGGAAATAGAGACATTTTTTTGAACGGAGGGAGAAAGAAATGTCTACCTTGGAATTTTGTTGTCTGTTAATGAAGTGTGAATATATGACATAAAAGAAATAGTTTAAGTGTTATACAACACCTAATATGCCATGGGACAAGCCTAAAAAATACGGCTAAATGTATCACACCCGTGTCTTCCTATTGTGGGTTAGCGCTAAAACAGGCATTCATGCACCGACTCCAGTTTCCAGAAAGGGAAATGATTTCATAATCTTTCAAATTGGGAAGAATAAAGAAGAGAAACATTTGATATATGATATGGTCTACTGACCATTGCATTTCAGAGAGTTAATGACCTACTATTAATCATACCTTCTGCAATGGTTGCTGAAGCACATCTCATTTTTTCACCAGCCACCTATTGTTGAGATTTGAAACAACAGATATATCATTTTTGAAACCTCTACTTGACAGGGATTCAAATTGACCAAGCAAAGTCTCTGGAGCTCTAAGCTTTGCTGGCAAGCTAAATCATCCACCAGAAATCTTGCTGCTGGACGTTTTCTTCCAAATCAACAAAGCCTTGGGATGCAGCTCGCACAATTAGGTCGAGATGCTTCTGCAGCAGTGAGTAAAGGACACTGTATCCGGCATAACTGCTCTTTATATAATGTGTGTTGCCTATTAACTGTATAGTGGTCTAAACAAGTTCTTAATAGAGTGATCCTATGAATCTTTAGAGTAGAGTGTCTATGGACCTAACAAGTAATGTTCAAATTGCACATTGTTGTGTTACAGTTGTAGAAAATCATGAATTAAATTATCCCATGTTCTTCATCTAAAAGGAACTTGTAAAGCGTTGAAATTATCATGGATGAGTGTAGAAGTATCAACCAATCAATTATGTCTCTATCTGCTGTATTTAAAACCCCATTTAGCAGTACAATCTGTCGACCCAAAAAAGAAATAGAAAATCAAAACTTAGAACAGAAAGGAAAATAGTATAGGATTCCACTATTCGGTAACCAACTTCAAGTTTGCTGGGTAGTATTTTCAGATACTTCTTTATTCCTTGTCATATTAATTGAGACAATAACGAGCATAAATTGTTTGAGAAGTGTGGCATGTGTTTGGAAACTGAGTAGTGGCATATCCGTATTTCTTGTTGGTTGTCCCAGTCCTCATGTCTTTCCTCCTCCCTTGGACATCATCAAACCTCTGCCTTCTTATTTTTGCACAGGGTGCTGCTCGCAAATTAGTTACTCAGAGAAAGAACATAGAGGTTGTTGAATCTGTTGGTATTGCTGGGAAATCTGATCCGGACAGGAAAGTGAAGTACTTTAGATTGGAGGTATGAATGCTTTTTCCTTTTTTTGCTACGTTGTATTTAGTTGCTGTGCTCAATGAGTACAAAGGGTCAGTTGGATTTTTAATTGAAACTGCAAATTGTAACATTATAATCCCTCAATGGAAGTAATTTTAATTTCTCTGCTAATTCTTTTTTCTATATGGCAAGTGTTGATCATTTTGATGGTATAACATGCTTCTACAGTTCTGCTGTTGATCCTTGAAATGCTGCAAAATTGTGCTTTATAAGGCCAAATACAGACATCATCATTCCTTCTGCGACCCTTCACATATCTGCCATTTGCTCTCCTTCCCCTACACTATCTTCTTTTAAACGTGGTACCAACTAGGTTTAATTTGTTTCTTACATGCCTTATTGGTTATTTGCACTGCAGTTGCTTGATAAGAAACAGGAAGAAGAAGACGAGGATTTAGATTTTAGAGCTCTCGAAAATGGATTTGTAAGTTCATTTCTGCTAATTCCTGATATGGTTTTCTATCTTCTACATGGCACTGTGGGTATTCTGTTCCAAACTGGAAAACTTTCTAGTCTGCTTAAAGGATGAGTACTCATAGTCAGAGAGTTCTGTGCTCGGAGTGTCATATTATTCTCTGCCATTGTAGAGGCACATGCAATATCGGAAATTATCTTTCATGTTTTGGACCTTAGAACTATGAAAAGTCCATCATTGTGGGTCTTGACAAGTAGGTCTTTTTGTGCTTTTTCAGGTGGCAGTCACTCCAGTATCTCTTGTAATGCATGTGGAAACAGATGTTAATGCAGCTGCATCAAAGTGGATTTCTTCTGCATTAGAAGTGGAACAATGAAAAGATGAAGCTAATATTCAGTATTGTTTGTTGTACATCTTTAGATGACTTTGTTCAGGTCATATTGCAAAACTTACATGGGCCATAGTTGTGATGCCTCAATTATTTATTTGGTTTTTCAACCTTTTAATTTGTGTCCCGCGAAGCCAATGCTTCCACTGTTTACTTGAAAGGCCAGCATGTTGTAAAAGTGCCATACTTTTTTGCTTGGTACCACAAAATTTGTGTTTTAGGTTTGTTTTTATTGGGCAAATTTGTGCTGTTAGGCAGGATGGTGGAATCCTTGTAAACTGGAAATAGCTTGATCAAATATAGTGGAATGCTGTTGTCTGTTTTTAATGGAGTTCGATTCTCTTCTTTCTTAAGCTTTTTATTATTTCATATTTCATCAGTTGGGAGTTTGTGAAACCAGAAAAGGACTTGAATTTTCATGGGCTCAAAACATTGGTTAGATTTAAGATTAAGAGGCCATTGACTCGGGATTTATTTTTATCGAACTATTAGTATCAACTTCATAACATGTAAGAGCAATATTTTTAGGTTACAATTCATAGGTGTATCATATATTCTTTTCATTAAGCAAGTCAATACATTTCAACAAATGAAAAGATAGTGTATACGAAGACTTTACTCCTATCTTAATAAGGTAAAGAAGTTATTTTCGAGTAGTCAAAAGGCAAAAACAATTCAAATCTGTACTAGGATTGTGGAAGGACTAAAATATCAAAGGTGCATATTCCATCATTATATTTTCTGAATTGTATGTATAGTACTTTAATGTTTGAGGAGTCAACCCAATATAATATAGTAATGTATACGATTTCAAAAGATAACGTCCTTTCACACAATTATATGCACTTATCAGCAGATTTATCTTTTTACAATTTTCAACGCCAAAAACTCGATGGAGTTATTCACGTACTCTTCTATTTTTATACGACGACAGTTGACTGGGCACTGACTCTAAAAAAAAAATTGATAAATACTTTTGACAAATATCAAAAGTTTCTTAGAACATGTAGTATTAAGTATTTCATAACATTTTCATGGCTAATAACATTAGGTTATAAAAATGAGAAGACTAAAGTTAACAAAATTTTCAAATATTTTACAATTATGTCTTTCTTTTCAAAGCAAATTATAATTGAAGTATTATTTAAAATAAACAAACGTATTTGCTTATCTTCTAATTAATTAGCATAATAATAATAATAAAAATGAAGTAGTGTGATCAAATTTGATTAGGAAATTTTATAGGATGTTGACACCTCGTAGAACAAACATTACATCCACTGTGGAAAACATAGGAATTTTTTTCCAAATTTGATGATAATTTTCCATGAATTTTTATTCTTTGTAAAGCTACCAAACATAATTTCTTTCTTCTTTTAAACTTCTTATGGAGAAGGAAAATGAAAATTAAAAAAAAAAGTTCTTCTGGACCAAACACTACGATCCAATTAATAATAAAAACTTTGATTCATTGACTGACATATATTCTTAATTAAGATATGAAAAGGAATAATTAACAAATGTAGAAATCAGAGATTTACGTTGAGAAAAAAAGAAAAAAAAAGACTAGAAATTAAAAAAATTCCCAATATAAACAATGGTCCCCTTAGTATCTGCAAATAGGTTGGGTCTAAATTAACTTTTCAATTCAGTATTTTGACCATCAGAGATTAGGAAAATTATTTACTTCTTCCATTTTCATATTATTTGACAATATTACTAAAAATATCTGTCCTAGATTATTTGTCAATTTATAAAATTAAGAAAGAATTATTTTTTATTTATGTTATCTTTAAATTAATTATTTTTAAAAGCATATATGTGATACATTTTTTCTTTAAATTTATCATAGATCAATATGTAAGTAAAAACAAATTGCCGAAAGACATGAAATTAATTAACTACTTATAATATTGATATCGTAAATATTTATTGATACAGTATAATACAATACAAAGACTAGTACTTCACAGGAGGGAACAAGAAAACTGCATAATAATAAATTAACATAAATGTAACTAAAGTTCTCAATTTAACTATGCAAATTTAAATTATAGCTACACAATTATAATAATCATAAAAACTCCCTTTAGAATATAAAAAGCTTACCATCTTCTTCTTTGGCCATTTTCATCACAAAAGTCATCAACATGTCTCTTATGAATCCCAAGTTCTAGGGTTCATCATAAATTGGTTGCATGAAAGTGCTGACCATGACGATGATGTTGATGATGACGATGATGATGATGACGACATGTGTAAGGATTTCATTAGCTCAACTTTATTGACGACTCTATGCAAATTATTATGTGGATTCATAATATAACTAGTACATGGGAGAGCACTCTTGACCACCATGGTGTCACTATGTTGTGACACAATTGGAGTTGATTCTAGAATGCCATCTTCATTCTCCTTTATCATTTCAGAAAGCTTAGGCAGTGTCTGTTGAAGATATAATTAAATAATTAGAAGCGTTTGAATATTATAAGATAATCACAATTGACATAGTATCAGGGCAAGACTGGACATGTTAAAAACATAATCTAGTAAAAGTATGCTCTCTAATAGCTTAAACTTTTAGATGGATAGTATACGTACCATCATCAGATCTTGATGATTTTTGATAGCCGCGTTTGTTGAATCCATGAAATTCTCCCCATTAGTGCAATTCAATGAAATGTTGGAGGTGACCATGGAATTAATGGAGTTGTCTTGTTTAATAACACTAGGGTTATATTCAAGATCATGTTGAAGATGATTAGGATAATTGAAATTAAACCATGTAGGATCATTTGAAATTGAGTCAAATGACAAATTAGGAAGGGAATTAGGCATGATCACATGATTAGTTAAATTCAAATCCCCATTATGATTAATGTTGTTCATTTGGTCAAGAATTAGGGGAGAACTTATACTTGACATGAAACTATTAGTACTAGGAACATTGGGATTGAATGAGTAGAAATTATCAAAAGAAGGATTAGGGATTGGATTAGTGATGAGATTGTTATAAGTAGGAATGATGATGGAGTTATCAGGGAGGATTCCATGAGAAAGATGGAGCTTCTTCTTGATACTCGAATTCCAAAAATTCTTTACTTCATTGTCTGTTCTTCCAGGTAAATGCTTCGCTATTTGCGCCCATCTGTAAAAACAAAACAAAATGTCTCTTTTGCATGAAAATAATACCGGAATGGTTCTCTTCATCAAAAAATATTCTTTTAAAAGATATTCTTTAACCAAAAATTTTTTTATCGAAAAATTACACTGTATATATTATTTACCTGTTACCAAGAATTCCATGGAGCTCAATGATAAGTGCTGCTTCTTGAGGGGAGAAACTCCCACGTTTCAAATCTGGTCTTAGATAATTTATCCACCTCAATCTACAACTTTTCCCACATCTTTGAAGCCCTATGTCATAGAAACGAATTCAAGATATAAATTTAATATAAAAAATTCGATTAAAAAGAAAAGAAAAGAGAAGAAAGAATAAAAATCTTTGATTGTTTGTTCGCATGGGCATATATTCACTAACTATACTAATGGTGGAAAAAATGAGGTGAACTCAAGATATAAACTTGATGAATTCAATCATTAAAATTAAATAATGAAACTAATTCTAGATCGAGATGTATAGAAATTTCGTAGTGGTTCTCTAAAAAAACGATTCGATAATAGCTATACTAATTATCTTACGATATAATTAGACTATCCCGGTCAATCTTTGCATCATGACGTTGATTTATTCAACGTTATGATACAAAGAAACCCAAAAAAAAAATAAAAATAAGAAGAGAATAAAACCTGCAAGCTTAGGAACAGAGCTCCAACAAGCATGACCATAAGTAGTAATGTAATTAATAAGTTTTTCATCTTCTTCAGGAGACCATAAACCTCTCTTCACTTTTTGTTTGTTACAACATGTATGATGCCCCATTTTTTTTTTATAAAAATATACAAATTAATTACTACTGTAACACTAACAGATTCTACAAATAGACCTCAAATATTGAGTTTGTGTGGAAAGAGAAGTGGAGGGACTCAATGTCTTATATAATAGATGCTCATGAGAATTGATGAGTACTACAGTACAATAATTTTTTGGATACTAGTAACATCGATAGTGTAAAGAATTTTTTATATTATCGATGTTATAATGGTAGTTACAGATTCGACAAATATATAATTAAGTTATTTTGAGTTGTACTTATATTAAAAATTCACTTATAGTATTTTCTTTATTTTAATTTGTTCATCTTGTTTATCTGATTTGACTTGATATGAAGTTTAAAAAAATAAAAAGAAATTTTTTAATGTTATAATTTTAAATTAAGAATATGTAAAATATTTTAAAACTTTCTTTTAATTTTTTGGCGTTAAGCATTTTGCGGGTAAACTTAAAATTAAGAGTTATAAAAAAAAAACAAGAAAAAAGACACTCTTTTTGAAACATATTGAAATGGACAAAGTAATATATACTTACGATATAATGAACTTTTTAGATCATCATTATTCATTAGGGGTGGAGTTATAATGATAATTGTGGAATGTGATAAATTTGATTTCTTTAACTCAAATTTTGTAATTATATTAAAATATCATACAATTCAAAACCCGTAACTAAAACGAAAAAAGAAAGTATATAATTCACAATTCATAAACTAAAAAACTTACTTATACCCTGTTTAACTTTGTTATAACAAGTTATCGATCATCTAGTTCAGATTAAAAATAAATATTATTATATAAAATAATTAATAATTACTTTTAAGTAACTTAGGATCCCTTTTTTGGGACATAATTTGAAATTATGAGTTGAAATTAAAATTATGCTAAAATGTGTAATTTAAATTTTTTAAGTTATATTTTTTCTCCCAAAATAAAAGAGAAAACTATCATGTTCCCTAACTTTTATGTAAAATCTTATCATATGAGAAAATTATAATTCATAAATATGGTATAAAAAAATTTTCCGTACCGATCATAATTAATTTTTTTATAAAATTGAGAATGATAAATCTTCTTTAATCAAAATACAAAATTTATAATTTAAATTATATATTTTAATAAAAAATAAAATTATAATATCGAATTTCAAATCACATTTTCTTACTTTTAAATATTTTCTTAGCATAATATACAACGCTACGATATTGTATGGGGGCTTGGCAAGAAGCACCAATCATCCATGCAGAAATAGTAGGTCCCACGTGGTTTTACAATATTTTGACAGCTGTTTATTTTATTTTTTAATTTTAATGCTAATATTCAAAAATTTATTTAAATTTTTTATTAAATTTAAATTTACGTCGAAAAATTCGATGCTGGCTATTTTTATTTTATGTACAAAAATTAACTATGCTTGGATTTGCTTCGTTGTAACACCGGGAGCCCCTCAATTTCACATTTGTCTTCACAAAACTAACCAACCTATCTTTTTTTTTCTTTATTTTAAATGCCTGATATTATATTTAAGCTTTATGTAATTTAAATAGCATTGTATAAGGTTTATTTAAAGTAAAAGTATTCTTTTTATATTTAGAGAATAGATTTCCTTTGATTTAAGATGAAGTTAAAAAATTTATTCATTATATTTCATTACAATTTATATTGATATAAAACTAATCAATCGCATGAGCAATTATTTTAATTAATATTTGAAATATTATTTGACGAATATATTTTTCTCAAATTTAAATTAAAAAATTATGAAAAAACACGTATATATGTTTCTAATATTTGTGAGTTATGTAGTTCCATACTTATTTTGAGGCTCATGATAAATAATATATATATATATATATATATATATATATATATATATATGTTCACTAAAGAAAAATTATATAAATTCAGATGCTATACACATTTTTAATTTTGATATACGATAAGGCAAAAGTTTTAGAGATAATAATAAAAAAGACAATATCATATGCATTTTTGAGCCCTTTGGATAAAAATCAGAGATTTGTATTTAAATGCTAAAATACAAATACATCATAAGCTTGAATCTTGATATATAAATTTTCTCTCTTCATACTATAGTTGTTGAATCAAATGATTCTCTCTTTAACAATAACATTATAAAAGTTAATTTAACTTTGTGATTAATTTGTCATAGATACTTGATTTATAGCACTTGCTCTCGTCATACTTTAATTGTTAAAATTATTCTTTCTATAATAATAACATTTTAAAAATTAACTCCACTTGTGATTACGTCCTTTATATGATTTTTATATAAAATCTTGTATTCCACGAAATATGTATGTACATCGTATTAATGGAGGATTACTAGACATACAACTTTCTTATGAAGGGAATATGCATTTCTTTTCTTACTTATTCAATATTTATATCGAAGTTTAATCAAATTAATCTCTCATCAAAAGTTCAAACCGTGTGAAATGATCGCAACTATTTAACTACTTATTTATGTTAGGACATGAAAATGTAGTCATAACCATTATTATGTCGCACATTATGTCAACTATGTTTTTCTAATTAATTATTAATCTGGGTCTCATGAAGTGAATGGTAATTAATTGAGAACATTGGAAGAATCATGATACATATGAATATGATTGATATGCAACAAAGCAAAAGTTCATGAATAATAGTAATAGTACATATAATTAACATATCTAAATAAAAATAAACAGATGGTCCATGAGTGAGTGTGTTCTTACATATTTAGCCAGGTGAAGAGGATGCAGTGTCGGTAAAAGTACCTAAACGATAGTAGGCCTCATTGATTTTATGATACCAATACGCAATAATAACATATCTAGTAAATTTTACAAGTGTAGTATCGATGGATAGTATGTGCAACGTTATTCCTAACTTATAAAGGTAAAAACACTATTCTCGATAAACTCTCAATTTAAATAAAACATACTAGAAGGATAATGGAAAAGAATAATAATAGTCACATGATATTATTCGAAGCAAAGGAAACAACAAGGCAAATAATAAGTAATAGGATAATTTAAATAACGAAAAAGGGTATAATATGTACTTAAACTATTGAAAATGATAAAAAAAAAAAATTATTCTTCGTCCACCTATATATTGACTTCCAAAATTCTTGTTATGCATCTTTTTGTCCAATAATTGACCACTTTATAACGAATTATCTAAATAATTTAAATAGTTTTTCTTAAATACGTGACGGCCATCTATTGCTTACAATTTAATTACTTAAGTTAATTTACGAATCTACTCATTACCCGACCCAAATTACGAATCTAATTGATATACACATACAATTCACTTCTCTCCCATTTTTTGTCCTCTCTCGCTCGCCTCTCACCTCTCTCTCCCAATTGTCTTGCTTGTCACATATACAAATGCATATGTATAATATACAATAATCTAACCAATATACATATAAATTCACCTCTCTCCCACTTTTTGCCTTCTCTCGCTCGCCTCTCTCTTCCTTCTCTCAATCCCGCTCGTCTTTCTCCTCCCGCTCCTAATCTCGCTTGCCATATATACAAATACATATGTATAATATATAATTATCTAACTGATACACATATACAATTCACATCTCTTCCACTTTTTGCCTCTCTTTCGCCTCTCTCCTCCTTATAACATGTAGTTACGAATTATAATAATCAAACTATAGTTATGGAGAGTAATTAGAATATTTTTGAGTGGCTATATATGAATGTTTTATTCAAACAATAATCCGCTACAAAAGTGGTCAATATTGGACCCGAAGGTAGATGACAGGGTATTTCAGAGGCAATAGGTGGATGACAAAGGTATTTGAAAGCCATACATGAATAAAGGATAGTTTTGTAGCATTTTCAATAATCATAAGAGAAACTAGACAGCACACAATTACCTACTAACCTTCTAATCTAATTTTTGACCTTCATACCCTTCTATCTAGGATCGTGTCCTCAATACATGGTATGTATTTATAATATGTAGCTACACACAAACAACATAACAATTATCAGTTTGCCGCGCTGCTATAAATTTTAGTAAATTGGGACTAACTTTCTATTAGAATTTTGACTATAAAAAATCATTTTAAAAAATACGTAATAATAAGGGATACTAATTTGTAACCTAGGTAGCTTAAAAATAAGTTAGGCAACTAAACATGTTACAAGTAGTTGAAATTTTAACTTTTTCTTTGAACAAGTGGATTATTAAAAAAAATTAAAAGGAAGCAAATAGTTATGATTAGACATTATATAGTTTGGTTAAATTTAGTGGTAAGTAAGTTTTCAAGAGTACCAAAAATGTTCATCGATTGCTTACTAGTTACTACAGTAACAAGTTAGTCGTGACACTACGTATTCCAACTTATTTGTCTCTCTTCATTCGATTCAGTCCTTTATTGACTTCGATAACATTATATTAGGTATGTCGGCATGTAAAGATATTAAATGAATGAGTTAAATTAAATTTGAAAAATTAAAATAAAATTTACTCAATAAATGATCAAATTATTAATAATACTCAAAAGTTATTTAATCTGAAATTAATAAACTAAATTACAAGTCATAATTTAACATATTTAATTTTTATTATTTTATTTATTATTTTATAATATTCTAATCCCTTAAATGGTTATATGTTTTTTTTGACTAGATTTCTCAAGAATCAATTCGAATTCAATTCTCAACAGATTGAAATTAGTTGAACTCGTAAATAAAAAAATCAGTTGAGCTAATCGAACGTATTGAATTTAATTTCATCACTCCTACTATTCATTGCATATATATATATATATATATATATATATATATACACACACATAATTAATGCGTACATAGATTGTTTCAACTATATGATCATACTTACGTAGATTAAAATAACATTGGATGAATACATTTTTTTTATTTTAAAATTATTATAAGTCATGTGTTTGAATCGTTAGGCATAGAAAAACTCTTATATTATCAAGAACTTTAAAATCACTTTAATGAGATCTATGGAACACGAATTCGATTTTATAGGTTGAATGATACTCTAATTAATTAATAACATTATAGTAATTTAGTTATTTTATTTTTGTGTTGCAGTATCATTCACGTAGAACTGAAACTTGCTGAAGTGACTGTTGGTGATTGCAACATTGAGTTTCACCATGG